AATTTAAATTGCCCCACTGAAATTTGTTAAAGCATTATTAAATGATATAGGTAAAGACAAAAAAAAAACCGCAGTTTAAAATCAGCTACTTCAAAGCTAAAACAGTAGCAAAATTTAAATTGCCCCACTGAAATTTGTTAAAGCATTATTAAATGATATAGGTAAAGACAAAAAAAAAAACACAGGTTAAAATCAGCTACTTCAAAGCTAAAACAGTAGCAAACAGCTACATACAAGCAAAAACAAGCAGAACCATTGCTTAAATCTAAATCTAGTAAATATGTAGCTAAAAATAACAAAATGGTAGCAAAAAGTTAAATTCAGCAGAACTGCTAATGAAAATAAAAAGCATATATAAGGACAAGCATAAAGCAGATATGGTAAAGTACATTTCACAGAAAAATGTTTTTGAAGGAAGTGAAGAAGTCTCAATGGTTTTCTATAGGACATTTCTTTTTAGAGAACGCTGACTCAGCAATCACTTTATTGTGCAATTTACAAATGAATTTACAAGTCCATTTCCGCAGTGTGTTTGTGTGTAAACAATAATCAGCTGTTTAACCAGAGCTGGACACCAGTGAAACTGTTAGTCAAAACAATAGGTTTAGAGAGATGGTGAGAACCAGAAGGCATTCAAAACATGTGGCTGTAAAACCCAACAAGGGTCAGTGAACACCATGAATCACAACAACTGCATGAATTATTTGAATACAGTATTGTTTACTTAGAAAAGCTTGCTCTCGACCAATCCTCCCCTAAAAAACGCCTTCATTCTCATTTTGAAAGAGACGTTACCATGAAATTTGAAATGAGCATAATAAACTTTAACTCACCTCCAGTTCTCCRTTCTCTGCAGCATCGTGGAGCGGGGTCCCGCCCCAGTTGTCGGTGACAATCTCTCCCCCGTGCAGCAGCAGCCAGCTGAGCACCTTCGAGTGGCCTCGGCTGGCTGCAAAGTGCATGGCCGTGGCTCCATCACCGTCCCGGTCTGTCAGACTGATGTCTGTGAAACTCATCTAAAGGACAGACGAGGACAAAACAGAAGATTTTGCCATTTTGAACCTTGAAACACATTTAAAGACAGGTTCTAAAAATAAAGATTTTTCTGCTATTCCAACACACCAGCCAGACTATGACAGAGTTGTGGCCCATCTGAGCAGCAGCATGCAGAGGCGTCATCCCATCGTTGGCTCTGATGCTCGGATCTGCCCCGCAGTCCTTCACCAGGTATTGGACAACCTCCAGGTGACCCTCCTGGCAGGCCAGGTAGAGSGGTGTGGCACCATTCTTAGTTTGGGAGTTGACAAAGCTGCAGAATAAATACAAGTAAAGGAGAATCCTGGATGAACKGAAAATAAATCAGATTCAAAACACAATAAAAAAATAAGTGCAGCTGTGACCCTTAGTGACCAAGAATCTAGACTTAACATTATCTGCTGAAAGCTCTGATGCTCCTACATTATTGTAAATATTTTTGTACCATATAATATAACAATTTATATGAAAGAGAGGAATGATAAAGTGAAAATCTGTACTGTAC